ATCAGTCGCTATTTTAGTCGCTAAATTATAAAATTGATTTTTTTAGCGACGGAATTTAATTCAGTCGCTAAATGGTATATAAATTTAGCGACGAAATTGAATTCGATCACTAAATAGTAGTTAAGTTTAGCGACGGAATTGAATTCGGTCGCTAAGTATTAGTTAAAATTAACGACGGAATTGAATTCGGTCGCTAAATAGTAGTTAAATTTAGCGACGGAATTGAAATCGGTCGCTATTTCAGTCGCTAACTTATAAATTTTGATTTTTTTTAGCAACGGAATTTAATTCGGTTGCTAAATAGTAGTTAAATTTAGCGATAGAATTGAATTTGGTCGCTAAATAGTAATTAAATTTAGCGACGGAATTGAATTCGGTCACTAAGTATTAGTTAAAATTAGCGACGGAATTGAATTCGGTCGCTAAATTATAAATTTTGATTTTTTTAGCGACAAAAATTAATTCGGTTGCTAAATAATAGTTAAAACTAGCGACAAAATTGAATTCGGTCGCTAAATTGTAGTTAAATTTAGCGACAGAATTGAATTCGGTCGCTAAGTATTAGTTAAAATTAGCGACGAGATTGAATTCGGTCGCTATTTTGATCACTAAATTATAATTTTTGATTTTTTAGCGACAAAATTGAATTCGGTCGCTAAATGTTAGTTAAAATTAGCGACAGAATCGAATTCGGTCGCTAAATAGTAATTAAATTTAGCGACGGAATTTAATTCGGTCGCTAAACCAAAAATTTTGATTTTTTTAGCAACGGAATTAAATTCGGTTGCTAAATATTAGTTAAAATTAGTGACAGAATTGAATTCGGTCTCTAAATCAGAAATTTTATTTTTTTAGTGACAGAATTAAATTCAATCGCTAAATATTAGTTACAATTAGTAATGTAATTCTATTCGGTTGCTAATTTTAGATCATTTATACAGAATCTTATATGAATTCAAGATGATTTGATACTTTATTCTAGTAAAACAAAATTGACGTAATATATTCATTTCAAATAAAATATGAGCATTTTGATTACTTTTAAGTTGTTGATTAATTTTAACAAAAATTGATATAAACATATAAAGTGATATGAACTTTCAATCTATCAGTTGGATTTACAAAATTCACATTTAATATAAATTTATTGAGCGGTGTAATACTTAGTATAAAAGTTTTACCAGTGTTATTATAACCCTTCTCATTTTAAAATATATAAATTATTACTTAAACTTTTAAATTTATAATAAATAATTTAAATTGTATCATAAAATTAATTTTAAATAGAAATAAGTAGATTGTTAATTATAAAAGTAAGTATATATATAAATAAAGATTAATTAAATATAATATAATTATTATTATTAGTAATATAATTATTATATATATTATTATATATTTATAACGGTCCGGATATACCAAAATGATAAGGATCCAAAAATAATATAAGTATGAGATTGGATAGTTGAGGATGATTTAAATGAATTAATTTGTACTACTTATACTAACAACATGCATTAGCTTTTCGGTAGCTTATCTCATAAGAACTTCACAGTTAAGCGTGCTTGACTTAGAGTAATGTAGGGATGGGTGACCTTCTGGGAAGTTTCCAAAAATTGTGTAATAAAGGACATAACATGCTACAAACTTAAGTATTGTGAAATAAAATCCTTAAGAGGCCAAATATGAGTGGTTCATAGAGACCAAATTTGCGACGTCTATAAAATTTAATAAAATAAAAAATAAATATTTAGCGACCGATTTATTCGGTCACTAATTTGGTCCCATATACTTCAGCGACCAAAATCATTTCAACCATTTAGCGACCGAAAATTTCGGTCTCTAAATAGCTTAGCGACCAGGGTTTTAGCGACTGATTAAATTCGGTCGCTAAGGTAAATAGCGACCGATTTTTGCAATTTAGCGACCGATTTTGGTGGTCACTAAATTGCATATTTTTTGTAGTGTGTCACGCTAATCATACCTTTGTGTCATTAATGAACGTGGTTCAATCAAAGGATACTCTTTCTTGCTTATGTCTAATGTAGGATTGGTGATGTCAAATGTAAAGAAATAGGGTTATCTTAGGTTGGATTGATGTTGGGCGTGGTTTGAATGATGTTAAGCACGAGGAGGGAGAATCATCTAGGGTTGACATAAAGTCGAGTGTGCGTTGTTGTCACGTTGGGCGTGAAGTCCCAAGGGTCCTTGCTTAGTTCACATTGAATGTGAGTTGAATGACGTTGAGTGTAGACGAGATACGAAATTCCCTGTCTCAATGGTGTCGAGCAGCCCTTGAGTGGAACCAAGTACAAGTTGTATGATGAAAGTTGAATTATTTTAAGATGTTTTGTAGTTAAATAATGATGTTAGCCATTGTTTCTAATTTTATGCTAGTTGTTGCTTTTAGCAACACCATCAACCGTTGTTTCTAGTGTACACTAACCGTTGTAATTTAGTAGGATCTAATCACTTAAAATGTTTACCTTAGTTATAGGAGATCTCCCTAGTTGATCTACATGATGATGCATTCATTTGTTTATTGCTATTCATGTTGAATATCATATGTAACTAATGAACACATTAAATTGTATGATAGAATATTGTTAATTTGTGTAGTTAGTATTCTCTCTACCTTAATTAATGTTGTTAAACCCTAAGTAGATATGTTCTCTCTTTCTCTCTCTCTTTTATTTATTTATTTATTTTATGTGTGTCATTGAACTATAGTAAATGTAATGATCTGTCAAACCATTACAATAGAAACGTAAATAAATTAATAATAATTGTAATAGATAAAATAATGAAAAAAGAAAATTTTGTATTACATAGTTTGGAAAATTATGTACATTTAAAATTATTGATTTTTATAATAATTATTTTTAAAATAAGAGTCATTTTTATTTAATTTGTAGTATATAATTTTTACGCTTATAGTGTACGAAAAATAAATAACAGAGAATTAAATAGTCTTATTATAAGTTTTTTTCCTTTGCCCCTCATGAAATAATCAAAATTAATATGAGAGCATTCCCATCCATATATGTATATGATCAGAAAGTTTAATTTTCATATAGAACCAAGATTTTACAAATTACAATACATTTTTTTTATATATCTATACTTATTATTAATAAATGATTGATTATTCTTTTTGGTATACATATTTATTACACAACTTTATTTCTATAACTACTTCTCAAATTATTTTTTACATTTTTCAAAAGTTATGAGTGATCTTTTTATGCCAATTAATAAAGATTAAAATAAAAAATAAAAAATAACAAATTACAGAAGCGGAAATAATGCTTACAGCTATAACTCCCATATTAACAGTAGATTTGGCTAAAAATATCCAGAGTAGTTCCCTTCTATGAGGCAATGGACAATGGAAAGGTCCCAAGCTGACACTAGCTCCTGCCTGCACCAGTATAATGGCCAAAACCGAGTCTCTGAAACACACAGTATTTCTGAATCCAAGGTTCCAAGCAGATTGCAACCCTGCATAACTTAATATAATCTATCACTGTAAATAAAGGTTTTCATGCTTTTATAGGAGAGGGAGAGAAAATGAAAGAAAGACTTTAATTCTTTGCTTGGGGGAGGGGAGGAAACCAAAGAAATAAATTTTATAGAAAATAGTTAAGAAATAAAGTAAGATAGATCAAAATTTGTTACTTTTTGATAGAGTAGAATTGAGTGAGAAATAGAGAAAAAAAATTATATTTTATATAGTTAAATATATATATATATATATACATATAAATAAATTATTAATTTTTTTCTTATAATAATAATAATTATTTTAATTATATTTTAAAAATTTTATTTAAAGATAAATATAAAAATAATGTAATATATATATATATATTATTAATTATGTAAAGATATAATTAAATGTGTTAATTGATTATACATTATTATAATTGTTTTATATTCAATGATGTCTATACATAATCAAATATGACAAGTATTTTTCTTGAATAAAATAAAAAATGAGCAATGAATAATATATTTTCATTTTTTTTTTGAAATTTTATGCAAATCACCTCATGTTAATAAGTGCTTATTATGTTTTATGTGGGATTTACTCTCATTCTGAACAATTTTTTTATTAAACTTTATTTACTTTCCATTCGAATGAGATGAAATCTTAAAACACTTGTATGAAATTAAAAAAAAAATCATGCAAATGCTCCCGAGCATACCTATTTTTTTTCTTCTTTTTAATTCCTTATAAACATGCTCTCTTCTCTTTATTCATGAGCGGTAAATCATGTCCACCATAAGATATTTTTGTGTGTATACAAATTTTATTTTATTATTTTATTTTTATAACTATATTCTTAAATTATTTCTATCTTTTATTCATTTTCTTTTACTTCTCTGCGAATCTCAATTTACCGCTAATAAAAAAACATGAAAAAAAGTCTCTGATTAACCATCACTTAATAATAATAATAATTATTTAAATATTTTTATGATTAACGATTTTAATAATCACATAATTATAATTAGTTATAAGTAACATGTCAATGATGCTAAAAAAAACAATAAATAACATGTCAATGTTTATAATCCAATTAGTCGGATCTTAACTTAATATTAAAAATTAAATATAGAAACATGTGATAAGGATTTAATTTCTATTCGATATGTATGAAAAATATTTGTTAAGAAAAGTCAATCCTTCAAATAAACTTTAATATCTTAAAAAATTAGTTCATAACTTTTGTTTAAGAATTACTTTAGAGTAACTTAAAAAAAAAAAAATATATTCATGTGGAAATTTGTTAACAAAAAAAAACAGAATGTTAAAAAAAATTGAAATAAGAATTGAAGATTAGAGTGTTATAAGTTTTAATGTGAGCTCACATGAAGTAGATTAGTTAGAGGAATAAGGTTAGAGAGTTTGACAAATTGAAGCCGCCGAACGCTATTGAACATTTCTCCTACAACTTGGTACTACACATTACTATATAAATAACACAATAACTGCAAAAGTAACTGAAACAAACCTCTTTGGTCCCTGCAACATCACTTTACAAATAACAATAACTCTCTCTCTCTCTCTTTTCTCTTATAACACATTAACACCAAACCATTCATTCATTCATTCATATCTACTCCAAAAATGCCACCACTCCCTCCTCCTCCGGCCACCGCCGTCCCCGACGCCGTGGCCCGGCACCACACGCACGCGGTGGCCCCCCACCAGTGCTGCTCCGCCGTGGTCCAGGAGATCGCCGCCCCCGTCTCCACCGTGTGGTCGGTGGTGCGGCGGTTCGACAACCCGCAGGCCTACAAGCACTTCGTGAAGAGCTGCCACGTCATCCTGGGCGACGGCGACGTCGGGACCCTCCGCGAGGTCCGCGTGATCTCCGGCCTCCCCGCCGCCGTCAGCACGGAGCGCCTCGACGTCCTGGACGACGAGCGCCACGTGATCGGCTTCAGCATGGTCGGCGGCGACCACCGCCTCTCCAACTACCGGTCCGTCACGACCCTCCACCCCCACCGCGCCGGCACCGTCGTGGTTGAGTCCTACGTGGTCGACGTCCCCCCCGGCAACACCACCGACGACACGCGCCTCTTCGTCGACACCATCCTCCGCTGCAACCTCCAATCCCTCGCCAAATTCGCCGAAAACCTCTCCAGACCCAAACTCCATCAACAACGATAACTTCATACACTGTTCGTATTTTTTTTTTCTTTTCTTTTTTCACCTTTTGTAATTTTACTCATTATTAGTTCTTATATTATATAATATATACACTTCATTAATATCACAAGGTTTTGTGATAATTTGTTGCTTGAGAAGAAAAACATAATCTTTGTAACTAGCTAGTCAACTATTTTTAGTACAATCTCTTTTTTACTCTGATCAACTAATTAATTACCAGAAAAAAAAAATTATGTTATGTTGATCTAATCGTTGTTCTCATTGTAGATTGTAGTATTTTTCATGGGGTTAATTAATACAATTGTAGAAATGTTTATCTTTACGAAATTAGAACCGTATTGTGATGAGTAAATGTGTTTTATTAGAATAATTAATTTATACTGGGAGGGGATATTGGACCGACTATATTTGTTATTGTAAGATGGTGATGTGAATTACAAGTTTCCACATGAAATGCAGAGGTTTTGAATATGACCTCCCAGAAATTAAGGCGAATGTGACGATGGCTAGTTGTGGGGCGATGCAACTTGCGGTATGGGTTCTATTCGTGCTTTCATTTTCTCTCACTTCTTTGGGTTAAAAACAATTCTGCACGGATCGATTTGTTTTCTCCCCTACATCATTTTTCATTCATGTAAATCAAACATACATCATGTGAATATAATTATGCTTCCTATAGTTAAGGTGAATTTTTGGAGGAGTACCTGTTGTTTGGTTATTATATATGTACTACCATAACGTTATCTAAAACACTTGGTCACTTTTAACATAATTTGTTATATATTTAAATAGATGTACATCATTGAACATATGGTAATTACTAGAGTGTTTTTAACTCCTTACTACTTGGGTGTTGTTAAAAGGGTGTTTTGATGGACTTTAAATAAATATTTTTTTTATTACTTAAACCAGATATGAACAAAGTTTTAGGATGGAAAAGTCTCAAAATATTTCATATTTTCAGACATTAAAATAATTAATTAAGTCTCTTAATGTATGAAGTTCTAAACAATGGTAAATAAAAAGAAGAACATTGAACTAAAGAAAGTTTTCTCTATATTTTTTCACACACGGAAGCTAGGGTTAAGTGAGAATTAAAATCGAAAAATAAAGAACGATGAGGCTGATGAACAATAGGATAATGATATTTTATATTTTATGGTACCGTAAATTGGAAATAACAACGGAGTTAAATCATCTTTTATAAATTAAAGTTAGCAGAACATTATTTAAATTATCTTTTTAATAACCATCCTATTTCAGAGAGTATTTCATTACTTTGAATTATTTAATTTATTATAAATTGTTTTTTTACAATTCCATCTCAGGAGTAGTTATTTGAATTCTTTTATACCTTAATCAAGAAGTTAATGGAACCGGTACGCAGCCATTTTTTTTTTTTCACTTTCTCTCACTTAATATTAAAATCCAACTTGGGCTACTGTATTAACATTAGAGCATACTGTAAGCACGGATCTACTTTATATCTTTAATAATTACACAAATAAATATTAAAAATTATAGATAATTATTCAAAAAAAAATACATATATATATATTCTTTTTACATTCAAATAATATAATCATTACTAAAATATATCTCCTTTATAATATGTATATATATTAAAGGAGCTGAGACATTTCATACTTCAATCAAACAAATATTAAAAATTATGGATAATTATTCAAAAAATATATATATATATATTATAAATAAGAAAGGTAATTAATTAATTAGATTGAATTAGATAGGTAGAGAAAAAGAATTGAATAGTAGTAGTAGATAGTTATGTAGGTGGATTGGCCTGTATGATGACTTTTTAAAGGTTTTCAAAGATGTATAGTCCCTGAGTTTGAAGCCAGGTCCATGAGAAATAATAAGAATAATATAATAATTTGCAAGTTGTTGAGGCAGTGTTAATAAATTAAATTGAATAGAAAGGGATATATGACATAAAAAGAAATGTGGAGCAGCATGGGTTGAGTTTGTTTGAATAATCACCGAATGGTCGTCGGTTTATGCAAGTTGATGAGCAAGTGGGTGATAAGTTAACATTTACACGAGAGATAGATGCTCTTCATATCCTTCCCTACGTGCAACGCACCCTCTTCTACCCACCCTTTTCTTTGTCCACTTCTCCATCGCTTCATAATTATTTTTCATTTTTCATAAACAAAAAACAAATACAGGGAATTAAGGTACAATTTTTCTATTTTAATATATATATATATACTTTTAACATTTCATCGTATTTCAAATAAGGTTATCCATTAAAGAAAATGCATATTAAAAAAATAAAGTGCATTGGAGACCTTTACTCAGGTTAAATGACCTGTAATAGATTATAGGTCGAAATATTTCATAGATCATTTTATCCACCAAATTGAAGAAATTTTAGCGATTAAATTCAGGATCGGTAAGAATTGTGTTCAGAATTTATGTATGAACTTTGACCTTAGTTGAATATTGAAAACAGGGGGAAAAAAAGAAAGAAAGAAAGAAGAAGGTGAAGAAGAAAGAAAGATGTATATACAGAACATATTGGCAAGCACTCCATACAAAAGGAATAAAAACGAAAACGATGGATGATCTATGGAGATATATGATATGAGAGGCAATAAATAAATAAATGTTACTTTTGATTTGTGCACACATCCTCTATTTTATAATAAAAGTTTATCTTGACAAACAATTCATTTAAGATTTTATGTAATAAATTCTTTTATAATAAAAAGTTATAGTATAAATATTTAAAATTTAATAAGTTCTTGTATCTGAATATACATATTAATAAATATTTATATAATTTTAAAGTGTTTGGATATATTATTATTTAAATATTTATAAGATTTTATCTCATTTTAAAAATTAAAAATTAGAAATTAAATTTTGACTAAAAATAAAATAAAAAGACTTAAAAATAATTTTAGTCTACAAAAGAAGTTGGTTTTGATTTTAGTTCATGTAAAATTTTTCTTTATTTTTCATCTCTCTAAAATTGAAACTATTATTTATAATCTCTCTATTTTGTGTGATCATTTTTTTAACTACTTTTATTTATTAAAATATTAAGTGAACATCTTAAGTGTTATATACAACTTTAAGTGATATCATGTCAGTAATTGACACCTCCAAATTTTGTATAAATATAATATAATTATTATTTATTTGTCTTAAAATAACCATTAAGTACAAAAAATAATGACTTTAAATTTTAGATAGATAAGAATTAAAAAAAACATATTTTATAGAGATCAAATCAAAATTTATTCATTTTACGAGGACTAAAAATAATATTTATAAATTTTAAAAAGATGAAAATAATTTTTTTTATAGAAATAAAAATCAAAATTCTCTAATTTTATAGGTACTAAAAACATATATAAGTTAAATAAAAAGTATAAAAAAAAATTACTAAATAATTTTAAAAATAATATTATACATAACAATAATATTAAAAATAATAAAAAGTCACTAATCACAATTCACCTGATATTAGTTTATAAAAAATAAAATTATGAATAAAAAAAGAGAAATTAATTATATATAATCATGATTAAAAATTAAAAACCATAAATTTTAAAATTTAAAAATCAGTTTTATACATTTTATTAAATCATAATTAAAAAATTATTGTGTAAATATTAACAACAAAATTATTTAATTTGTGTTATTTTAGAAAAAAAAAAGTTTGAGAGTTTTTTTTTTTTTTTTTTATAATAGGGCAACATAGATTTCAGGGGAAAGAGATAAAAAAAAATTGGAGAAAAGAAAAAAATTAAGAGAAATAAAAATTTTTGGAAGGAAAAACAAAATCCTTCGAATGGAGTAATGAAAAGAAAAATATGACTAATTTTAAGTGAAAAAAAAGGACAAAAGTAAAAATAAAAAATATTTATGTCATCAATAGGGTTCAAATTTATATATTTTTTAATAAATTCTCACGTAAGTTAAATAATAAGTTATATTAAACAATTTATCAAAATAAACTCAACATCTTATGAGCTACTCATAAGATATTTTTTTAATTTTGTCTAAATGTTTTTATAAGTACTTATGAAATAAGATAAATATAAATAAGTTATTCATAAGCCCTTCTAAATGAAGCTTACTCATTTGGATAAGTAACATATTCAAAATTTTATATAATAAACTCTTATGTAATAATAACTTAATTGTGTTATAAATGCTTAAAATTTAATAAGTTGTTGCATTTTGATATACATGTTAACAAGTAGTTATAATATTTTAAAGCCCTTGAATGTATTATTATTTAAGTACTTATAAGATATTTTCTCATTTTAAAAATTAAAAAATTACAAATTAAATTTTGAATGCAAGTAAAATAAAAAAAGACTTAAATATATTTTTAGTCTTTTAAATTTAGAATAAACTTATTTTTGGTCTCCCAAATTTAAAATTTTTGTCTTTAGTCACTATAATTTAAAAAAAAAGTCTTATTTTAGTCATTCGTGTCACCAATAATATATCTGAAAAAGTGATAGATTAAGACAGTTATGTAATATCAACCGAATTTAATGTGATTTTTTTTACTAATAGGAACATCAATATGTAGATTTTATGCAACAATATTTAACATATTCCCTAACAAAATTTGAGTATAATGATTATAATAACAAGATTTTCTAAAATTACAAGGACTAAAAAGATTAATTTTGAATTTGAGGGATTAAAAACAAATTTACCTTAAATTTGAGGAAATAAAAGCATATTTAAGTTAATAAAAAATTATAAAAAGTAACTAAATAATTTTTAAAAATTACATTATACATCACAATAATATTAAAATGATAAAAAGTTATTAGTCACCACTCATGTAACGATCTAATAAATCATTACACTAGTACTGAACAACTACTACGTAGTAGAAAACTAAGCAACATGCATAAAAAAATAGAGTTTATAATACAACTATGCTACGTAGTTCGTGAATTAGGATACATATGTTTCTTTACTTTAAGTTATTTTGGTATTTGATTTACCTTATTATGAAAATGTTTAAGACAATAATGTAACCTTTTACCTGTATGTTCTTTGAGACTATTTTAATTATGAAGGTTTTTAGTTATTGTGCTCTACTTATTTTATATTTACTTTATATTATGTGTGGGGTAAAGGATGTCACACTTAACATCTCACAACATGTTTATCATATCAATATATATACGTATACATCATCTAATGTGTTATTACACATGTCAACTACAGAGATCTTTTACATTTTATGATGAGCAGTTTAACTGGCTTGATCGTACCAAACAGTTGGTATGATACCAAAAACAATGGTTGACATTGAGGCTAGAAACAACGACTAGCTCAAGGTTAGAAACAACGATTAGCACAAGCTTAGAAACAATGACTAGCATAAGCTAGATTGATTTCTTAGGTTTTTCCACTTAAAAAATGAAGGATGGTACTATGTCAGAATAAAATAAATTGGGTATGAGTCTACCACGATATTATGCTTCAACATTAAGCCACATATGGGATTAGCCTACCGACTATCCTCCAAATACTACAATCCTTCGATATTAGTTTAGAGATTAAGTTTCCGACCTAGTACTTTACTTAGTTGATCGCTTTATACACATGTGTCTCAACCTTGTCTACACATGGATACTACATAGAACCAAGAGGAGACAACTAAAAAATAACTTATGCATTCAGAGACTAACTTACCTACTAAAGGGTTTTAATCGGACTCTTAGAGTACCATAACGTATATCTGCATAATGCAATATTAAGTTCGAAAACATCTTTAACT